TTTTACAGATGAGGAAACTGAGGCAAACAGGGTTAAGTGACTTGCCCAGTCACACAACTAGTAAGTGTCTGAGACCAGATTTTAACTCAGGATGAGGAGTCTTTCTGACTTCAGGCCTAACACTCTATCCACTGCTTCACCTAGCTGCCCAAAGGAGGAGGGAAGGAAGGAAGGAATTTTACCCAAGCTAATTATGGAATTCCTTTATTTCCTTGTTACCAATGTCTCTGGCCTAGAAATGCATGAAAATTCAGACTTAAGGATGTGTCTCTTGAAGGCTCAAAAATGTGAAGATTCTAAATGTCAAATGGAAAATTCTCTCTCTCCTTAATCTCTAGAAAAATGTGCCTCTTAGAAAAGTAAACTGTATGTAACAGGCATTGGCAGTTGCATGCATAATCCTCTTTTTTTCTGTTTCATTACATACATGGAAATTCCTGTTTTATTCATTTAGTGTTTGTTGAATTCAAAATTAAAATAAACTTAGAAAAATGCAACCCACTGACCCTCTCAGATGAAGTTCGATTCTTCCACAGCACAATCTCTCTATCGTTGAGCCCCAAGTCCCTCAGAGATGCGACCTCCTGATCACTCTTCTGTAGTGCTTGAAACTGGGACAAGCTCAAAGCCCCAGCTGCCTCCTCCCCAAAGGGCTTATATAGTGCAGCAGGGGCAAAGCACTGTTTCTTGGATACACACCTGCCAAACAATTAACAAGAATCACGACTTATTAAAGTACAAAAAAAAAACCAAACCAGGGTGCTAGGTAGACATTATGATGTGGGCAGGACCAAGCACTTCAGCTCGATCTCACAGCCTATTTCCAGGCAGAGTCTCCAGAGCAGTTGGGTGGAGGCTCCAGGAATTATCACCTCACCCAGAGCTAATGAAACTAGAGAGAAGTCTGTCCAGTACCACCTGAGCTCTCCCACCTTGTTTGTAAATTCAACACTTACTCTTCAATGGAAACAGAAGTATCAAGCTGATGGTGAAGGAGGCTCCTCAGCTGCCTCTCTCCTTCTGTTTCCAAGTCCTCCAGAATAAGGTCATCACTGGAAAGGCTGCTGTTTATCCTGGAGTGGAAAGAACAAAATAATACAGAAAGGAAATGGGGCAGGGTATCTGAGCACTGTTCTCCTCTTCAATCTGCTGCTTTAAAGGGCCTTTTTGGTCCTAGACCCTTTCCTATCCATTTTATCATATAGATGGGGATATTCAGGATGGTATAATTGTAGACTCACTGCCTTTTATCAACCTCTCCAGCCATGGCGGGGTTAGAAAGTTGTCTGAGACATAGCCCGGTCCCTGCTGCCAAGCTCTAAGGAGCTTTACAATCCAGGTTGGTGAGACAGGATTTACACATGATAAGATAATTAACTACAATTAACTACACAGGACAGCATATGGTACAGACAGTAAGTGCTATAAAAGACATCAGAGGAGGGGAAGAACACTTTGGGCTGAGGTTATCAGGGGAAACTTCCCAGAAGAGATGAGTTTTGATATGATGATGGTAATCAAAGATGAAGGATAAGACATGCTGTATAGGGAGAGCAGCAGCATAAAAGGCAAAGAAGTGGGAATTTTCATGGAGTGTTTGGAATGAATTGATCAGTCTGGGCAGAGTATATGTGTAACAAGAGTCGCAGGTGATAAGGTTGGAGAGCTTGGTTGTTGGAAGATTTTAGAGGGCATCACAGGCCAGACTAAGAAGTTTGAACTTTCACTCATTTGTGCTAAAAACACTAGGAAACAAAGGGTTAAATGGGATCTTTCCAATAAGATCAGGGATAAAGCAAGTTTGGCCATCATGACCACTACTATTTGATACAGTGCTAGAAATGCTAGCTATAGCGATAAGATAAGAAAAAGAAAGTGAGGGACTAAGCATAGGCAGACAGGAAGCAGAATTATTGCCTTTTGCAGATGATATGATAGTTTATTTAGAGAATCCTTAGAGAGTCGACAAAAAAATTAACTGAACCAATAACTTTGGCAAAAGTGCTAGATATAAAATAAATACACATAATATCCATCAGCAGGAAGAGCCAGAAAGAAATTCCATTTATATTTGGGAGTCTAACTGCCAAAACACACACAGGAATTATATGAAATTAAAAAAAAACACTCAACATCAATAAAGACAGACCTAAATAATTGGACAAATATTAATTGCTCATAGGTAGGCAGGCAGGATGGAGAATCAATCAGTCTTTGGAATGAGGGTAAAGAAGAATCACCAAGACACTACCAAAAGCATCTGCAGCAGTCCCCTGTATCTAACACTCCATCTCAACCCAACTATCTAAACAGCCTCCAACCTGGTCTCGCCAGCTCCAGCTTCTCCGATGTCCCATCTTCCACCCATTGGTCAAACTGGTATTCTTAAAGCAATAGATCTGACCATGTTATTCTCCTGCCTTAAGCGCTTTTGCATCTAGGATGTAACATAAAATGCTTTTCTATTTAAAAGCCTCCTCAGTTTGGTGCTAACTGATCTTTCCAGACTGATTTTACATTATTCCCCCCTCATTAATTCTACATTCTAGACAAAATGGTCTAACTGTGCTTCTCCTAGAGTCTGACAATGACATTTCATTGCCCGCTTGCACATCTTTATACAGGCTGTCTCTCACACCTGGAATGCCCTCTCTCCTCATGTTCTCCTCTTGAAAACCTCTAGCTCCCTTCAAAGCACCTCCTTCAAGAGACAGATGCCTCACTTCTCCCATCCCTATTAATTTATTTGATATATAGCTTCAATTTACTTATCTATGCACAAATTCTATTCCAACAGAAGACTGTAAACTCTTTGAGGGCAGAGAGTAAGACATTTTGTTGATTAATCCCTTTCCCTAGCTCCAATTATACATATCCACCTGGATACCTGCTCCTCAGTTTCTTCTAGTTGATTATCACCCACCTCCCACCTGCTATGTATGAATATAGGGCAGCTCAGTGGTGCAGTGGAGAGAGCACTGGGCTTGGAATCAGAGAGATTCATGTCCATGAGTTCAAATATGGCCTCTGATACTTACTAGCTATGTGACCCTAGGCAAGTCATTTAACCCTGCCTGCCTCAGTTCTTCATCTATAAAATGAGCTGGAGAAGGAAATGGCAAACTACTCCAGTATCTTGCCAAGAAAACCCCAAATGGGGTCACAAAGAGTCAGACATGACTGAAAAATGACTGAACAACAACTGTGCGAATATCCCCAAACCCCCTCCATTCTTTCTACACTCTCCCTTGGCAAACTCATCAGTTCCTATCAGTTCAATGATAATATCTATGCAGATGACTCCCAGCTTCATATACCTAGCCCTAATCTTTCGCCCGAGTTTCAGTCCCACAGGACATATAGGCCCATATCTCCAAATGGATGTCCTGTAGACATCTCAAATTCATCATATCCTAGGCAATTAGGTACAGCAGATAGGGAGCTAGACTTGGGAGTTCAGAAGATCTGAGTTCAAATCTTGCCTCAGACACTTACTACCTATTTGACTCTGGGAAAGTCACTTAACCTCTCTCAGTCTCAATTGTCTCATCTCTAAATTGGGGATAATAACAGCACTTGCCCCACAGGGTTGTTGTGAGGTTCAAATGAGACAATATAAGCATAAAGTGAATTGCAAATGTTAACGTACTACAGAAGTATTAGTTATTATTGCAATTATTAGATTCAAAACAGAACTCAATCTTCCCACCTTGCTTCCAAATTTCCCTGTTTCTGCTGAGAGTATCATCATCATTCTAATTAGCTAGATCTGGAGTCTTGAAGGCCACCTTTGAGTCTCCCCTTTTCCAAACTCCGCCCCCCCCCCCCAGCCAACAACTGTCATTTCAACATCAGCCACATGGTAATAGCCCATCTACCCCCTTCTCTCTGTTCACATGGTCATCACCCCAGTTCAGGCCCTCATCATCTCTCCCCTGAGCTACTGCAAAGGCCTCCTTCAGTTAGTCTAACCCCTCTCGATTACTGAGGATAATCTGTGTAACATAGGTTTCAACTGCTCTTTAAATATTCAATTGAATTTACCTGTTAATTTATAGAGCAATTTCAGTTCTGTAAAATGCTCCACATATTATTACCGCATTTGTCTCAACCCTCACAACTCTGTAAAGAAGGTACTATTCTTAACCCCACTTCATAGATAAGGAAACTATGCACAGAGCAGGTAAGTGTCTTGCTAAGGGACACCCAGTATCTGAAGGAGGATTCAAACTCCAAGCCCAGCTCACTATCCACTACAGAAGTCATCAAAACTGGCTGGTATTGGTTAAAAAATAGAGAAATAGATAACGGGAAAAACTAGACAAGGGAGAATTAAACAATGGAACTCAGTGTTCAATAAACCAGAAAACGTAAATTGCATAGAACAGAACTCCCTATTTATCAAAAACTGCTGGGAAAACTGGAAAGCAGTCTGGCGGTAAAGTAGGCTTAGACCAATACCTTATGCCATATTCCATAATAAATTCAAAACAGATTCCTGACCTTAATACTAAAGATCATACCATAAAAAATTAGACAAGCAGATCATTTACCTTTCACAGCTACAAGTAGGAGATGTATTCTTAACCAAACATGGGAGAGAGGCAATTACAACATAAAATGAATAACTTTGATTAAATGAAACTGAAAAGTTTCTGCAAGAAAAAATTAATGTACCAAGATAAGAAAGGAAGTGATCAAAAAAGCAGAAAAAAAACTTTGTACCAAATTACTCTGATAAGGCTTTGGTATCCAAAATATATAAACAATTAAGATACAAGATCAAAAGCCATTCCCTAATAGATAAGTGATCCAAGGATATAAACAATTCTCAAGAGAACTGTAAACAACTAACAATTATATACATAAAAGAATGCTCCAAATCACCAATGATAATAAAAGAAATGTAAATCAAAGCAACTTTGAGGTTTTACTTCACACCCAGAAAATTGGCAAAGATGACAAAAGATGGCAATAGTCAGTGTTGGAGGGACTGTGGGAAGACTGGCACACTAGTGCATTGTTGGTGGAGCTGTGAATCAGTACAACCATTTTGGAAAGCAATTTGGAATTATGCAAACAAAGTGATTAAAATGTCCATACCTTTTGAGCCAGAGATTCCATTACTAGGCATGTACCCCAAGGAGGCCATGCATAAGAAGAAAGTCCCCATATATACAAAATATTTATAGTATCACTTTTTGTGAGAACAAAGAATTGCAAACAAAGTAGATGTGCCCACTAACTGGGGAACAGCTAAACAAATGGTGGTACATGAATGTAATGGAATAGTACTGCGCTATAAGAAACAATCACTACGTTGAATACAGAAAAGCATGGAAAGATTTACACAAACTGATGCAGAACGAAGTAAGCAGAGCCAAGAAAACAATATACATAATGATTACAACAATGTAAATGGAAAGAACCACACATACACAAAAAAAACAAATGTTACAAAATTACAAAGAATAAGTATGGCTCAAAAGAAGAGATATCTTCTGCACCCCCTTTGCAGAGGTGAGGAGGTCTATGGGCATGGTTCATTGCACACATTTTTACACTCTTTTGATGCAGTGATCAGTTTTGCTGATATTTTTCCTCTTCTTTTTCATTTTTTTCTTTTAAAAATGTTATTTGTTAGGTGGCATGGCTCTCTGGAAGGGGTAAGATGGAGGGGCACTGGTGGAAATTTTGGTGATGCAAAAAAGATATTAATAAAAATTTATATTTTAAACAAGAATTTATTTTGTCTGGATCAGGGTTTCGTGTCCCACCCCCTCCGCCTTGGTAGTTTCTTTATGGTTTGTTCAATTTCCCTTTCTGAGACTGGGTTGTTTACAATCTCTATTTCCTGTTTTATTAATTTGGGATTTTATATTTTTGTAATCATCCATTTCCTTTAAATTATTTTTCACTAGCATATATGCAATAGCTTCTCAACAGGTCTCCTCATCTTCAGTCTCACCCCTTATCTAACTCATGCTACACAGCTGTCAGATTATTCTTCCTAATGTACAACTGTGATTATGTTTTCATACTGCTCAAAAACATTATCTATGAAATTAAATCCAAATTCCTTAGCCTGGCATTCAAGGCCCTCTACGCTCTAGCCTCAGCCCAACTTTCCAGCCTAACCTCCAATTATTCTCCTTACCCTATTCTCTAGACCTGTGAGCCTCCTAATATGTCCAACGCTTCCCAATCTCCACATCTTTGATTGTCTAGTGATCCCCTCCACCTACATTGAGTGTCTCTCTCCTCTACCTGATGAAATTGTCCCCAGTCTTTAAAGGTCCAGCTCAACTGCTATTTCATGAACACTTTCCCCGATTCTTTTAACCCAAAGGTGATCTCTCCCCCTCCATAAAACCCCAATAGCACTATGTACCTGTCCTGTGACATCTGCCATATTCTGCCATCTGTAATAGTTATCTGTATATGGATCTCAACTCCTCTATTAACTCCTTGAGGGTAAGAATTGTGTCTTATTCCTCTCCTATCTCTATCTCTACCACTCCCCTTGCCTCCCCTCTTGGGACCAGTACAGAGCTTGGTGCATGAGAATAGTTTCATTCCATATCTATATCCATCTACACAGATACTCAATAGCTATGAAATAGCTGTTGAATGAATACTCTAGATTTACTACATGAGGAAAGCCAAAAGCTGCCCTTTAACAAGCAATGGAATTGGAAAAACTATTATGTAATAAATGTAATTAATAAAAGCTTACGACCCAAAGTATATCACAAATTGGCATAAGGTCAAGACACAGACTTCATTAAATAAATGGTTAAAGGAGATTTAGAAAATATAACCAGTAATTCATCACATAGAACAGCTGCCCAGGTTTGCTGACAATGAAAGAAATGCACACTAATTGCTTATTAAAATCATAAAAATCCATGCATTTATTCAACAAGCATTTATCAGGAGCCTGGTATGCATAAAACAGGGAAGCAAACATTGCTGGTGGCACTGTAAAATTGGTGCAGTCTTCTTAGAGAACATTCTGGCAAACTGTAAGCAGAGCTAGAATACCATTCAGATAATTTGACTGAGTAATTTCTCTTTAAGGGATGTATTCCAAAGAAAATAACTAAAAAAAACCCAAAACTGCAGAAAGATGTCCATGGTAGTATTATCTATAAAAGTGAAGACCTGAAAACAACCCAAACCCCCTACACTAGGGGAACGGTCAAGACAATTCTGCTATAAGAACGAAAAGGGACTCAAGACCACAGTGATGCATAAAGATGTGTGTACAGAACAGCGTTAAGCGAAAAAAAGAAAACAGGCTAGATTACACTATTAAACTGAATGCATTCATTACAACTATGTTACAGGTACATTAAGATTGGAAGAGAATTTGAAAAGATAAAAAGAGTTTAACGTGGCTGAGGATTTTCCTTAAATTCTTTTTTTTTTTTTAAACCAACATAACAAGCAAAACAAAATCATCATCAACCCTTTACTATTCAGGTTGTAAGAAAGCCAGGGAAAAATATTTTCCATAAGCAAGCAAAATTCCTAAAGCTTTTCAGGGATTTGCATTTATATTTGAAATATGTGAAATAATCCCTAAAGAAAGACTTTGTTTTTAAAATTTTATGCAACATTTCGATTTCATTTCTGAAAATCTCATTGAACTTCAAATGACTTTTAAGTTAGAGAAGTAGCAAGACATTACATATTAACTTAAATTTCTTTTTAGATACCTCGGTTCGGAAATTTCTCGAAGACCAAGATCTTTCACTCCTCCTCAGGCACACAAAGGGACACAAAGAGTCACACCCTTGATCTCACCATCACCCACAAGGGTCCACTCCCATCACTAAGAAGTGTGCAATTCCTTAGGACCATAACCTCCTGTCTCCCTATGCTTCAATGCCCTAGTGCCCCTGCCCCATGGTGCTGGGCTAGGCCATCACTCCAGCTCTGGCTTCAAAAGTTCAACTTTACCCCAGCCTCTATTCTTCAATTCCGTGCTTACCTGGCCTACTGCCCCTCATACTTTGGCCAAGCCTTACCTTGGATTGTCCCTACCCAGCCTCCACTTCTTCTGAGGTCCCTTCTAGCTTTACAACTATGTTCCTATGTGTCATCTTGAGCAACTCACTTCTCTTCCCTGGGCCTCAGTTTCCTCTTCTGTAAAATAAGGAGGTTAGGCTAGATGGCTTCTGAGGTCCCGTCTGGCTCTAGTGCCTTGAAGGCAATCTCCTAGCACTGTTATTGGCACATGGTAAACAATCTGATATAACATTTACTAAGCACTTACTACAGCCAAGCACTATGTCGACATGCTGTCAATCCTACTAATAATTAGTAATACTGAACAAAAGGCGGTCTCCAATGTTTTTTGTCTTTCTATCCTCAACGATGAGCACAGTGCTTGGCACACAGTAGGCACTTAAAACACTTGTTGCCAGATTGACTCAGAAGAATGGGGGGGGAGAGAAAGAAACAGTCCTCAAAAGGAAAATCGAAAACCTATTAACAATCTTATATGAAAGAATGCTCCAAATCACTAATAATAAGAGAAATGCAAATCAAAATAATCCCAAGGATTCACCTCACACCCAGCAAATTGGAAATGACAAAAGATCAGAATAGTCAAAAGTGAGAGGGGTGGTGGAAAAAGAGGCACCCTAATGCACTGTCAATGGAGCTGGGAATTAGTATAACCATCCTGAAAAGCAATGTGGAATTATGCAAATCAAGTAACTAAAATACACCTACCCTTTGACCCAAAGATTCTACTGCTAGGCATATATCCCCAAGGAAGTCACAGACAAAAAGAAGGGCTCCAAAATATTTATAACAGCACTGTTTGTGATAGCAAAGAACAAAGTGGATGCCCATCAATGGGGAAATGGCTAAACAAATTGTGATACACGAATGTTGGAATATTATCGTGCTGTTTAAAAAGAAAAAAAAACAACGGCAAACATGATGAATACAGAGAAGCACGAAAGACTTGGATGAGCTGATGCAGAATCAAAGCAGCGGAGCCAGGAAAACAATTTATGGAAAGAATCTGTACAGAACAATCGAAAATGAATGATATGAAATGAGAAAGAACAAGCTGGGCCCCAAGGAAAAGCCAGGAGAATGAATACGTCCCCTCCCCCCCCCTTCTCTGCAGAGGGGGAGAGGGGGAGGGGGCCACAGGTGTGGACCATTGCATACATATCGAGTCAGATTTTTTTCGATGTATTGATCAGTTTTACCGAATCTTTTTCTCTTCTCCCTTTTCCCCCTCCCCTTCAAAAAAAAGTCTTTGTTATAAGGGATGGCTCAGTGGGAGGGGGAAGGAGGAGGAGGGATGCAGAGGGGAATGTAGGCGATGTAAAAACAAAAGCTATGGGTGCAAAGCGACTGAAGACACCGACTGATGATCGGGAGGCAGCCGACTGCGTGCCCTTGCCAGTGTAGTACATTCCGGGGGAGCTGGTGGTTTGGGAGGGGAGGAGGGAGCAGGCAATCTGGGCATGGGAGGCGAACAGACAGACAGTGAGGGTGCCGAGGTAGAGAGGCGGAACACGGAACACGGAGTAGCGTCGTCGTCTGAGGGGCCAAGGCAAACGGTTAGGGCAAGGATTCCCCCGCCCCTCACCCTCCGATTTCAAGGACTAACCAACCACCCTGCCTGGCTTTCTGGCCATTTTCCCCCTCCTCCTTGACAGCCAGTCTTTCTTCTACCAACAAACCCAGGAGAAGGATTTGGAAACCATTGCAATTCACCCGAATACCCACCTCACCGAACTGAGCCGCGATTATGCAACTTAGCCGGAAATGGGCAGCCCTGTGCCGGGATGGGCTGGGGTGGCGTGGGGTGCCGGGGGAGGTCTGTTGGGGGGATCCGATGCAGGCTAATGACAGCGGGGAGCAGCTAGTCACAGTCCTTAGGAGAGGCAGGCTGCGTCCGCTGCAGTGCCTGCAGAGGGCGCCTCCATCCCAACCCCTAGGGCACCCCCTTTCTCGTCTGAGGTTATTGGGAGATTCAAACCTGCCTCCTTCTCTCCCCGCTCCCCATATCTGCTTTCGGACCTCTTTATAACGAAGGAAGGAGAACAGAGGGGGCAGGACGTCTACTACCACCGTCCCATACAAGCCGCGTCGGGCTCGGATAAGGGGAATTGGCGCTGCACCCCACGTCCCCGCATCCCCATCTCGGGGCGCCCCACCCCCGCTCCCTGGGAAGCCGCCTCTCCCACAAGCAGGAAGGGCCCAGTGCAAGAAAGACTCTGCAGCCCAACGGTCACCCCCTAGCCCGCGAGGAGGCGAAGCCGGCACCCCGAGCCCCGCGCCCGCGGCCCCAGCCCCGGGAGCTCTCACCTCTTCATGCTGCCGCTAGAGCCGACGCCGCCGCTGTGCGCTGGATCCCAACGGCTACGGACTGCAATGTCCACAATGCCCTGCGAACGCCAATAGCCCAGGGAGGTGGGGCCCACTGCGGCGTGAGGGCTGGCGCGTGCGCAGTACTGCCCGAGCACTTCGTCACTGCCGGAGACCTCAAGGCAAAGCGAGAGGCCACGTCACAAAAATCCAGGGCTTCAGCTGGAGGGGAGGGAGACCTTCCAGTTTGGCTAATATTTTGTTGCTGCTCTTTTCTTTCTTTCTTTTGTATCTTTAGCACTACTCATTAACTCTCCCCTCCTCACAAGTAATAGGTTAATATAATTAAGCAAAATAAATCAACAGTGTGGAAAGAGCCTTGGCTCTGGAGTCAGAGGCTGTGGGTTCAAATCCTGATTTTGCCTTTTTCTAGCTGTGTGACCTTAGGCAAGGCACTTCGCCCCCTCAGTTTCCTCTGCTGTGAAATGAGGAGGTTGGACTAGAACCTCCGAGGTCCCTTCTAGCTCTAGATGAACCCACATAGAGCACATATAGCCATTGCCATATCCATAAGGGCTGCCCTCCATCCCCCTTTTCTCTGTGGGCTGGCTCACTCAGCTCACCTGCTGGGGCTGGTTTCCAAGGGTGTCAGGGGTCCTGCCACAGCCCAGACCAAACCTGCTGTATGGGTGTGTATGTGTGTGTGTGCATTGTATCACATTCATACAAAAATCAGTTTTAGTTACACCATGTAGCCCTTACACTGCTAGCCCTGTAACCTTTATTAACCCTTAATAAGGCAAAAGCAAAGAATAATCATAACCTAATAGCATTCACTCAATAGAAGGCAAGAACTAGGAGGGTGTGATCCCTAAGTCTGAGTCAGGCACTGGTACCAATGCATACAGTATCTGTGGGGAGGACTACCCTTTGAGAAATCTAGCACGTAGGTAAGTGAGTAGAGAAACCCAAATGCTTAGAGCAACTTACAATTCTGGGTAGCAGGTCTTGATGCCCTGGTCTCTGAAGAGAACAGCCAACAACAGGAATGACCTGCTGGGCAAAGCCACTTTCTGTCTACTCTCAGCTACTAAAAAAAATAACAGATTCTTTTCATATACAACTACCTTTAGCAGGGCACTGAGAAGGTATTCTTCCACTGAAAAGCAGTTTCCTTAAGCCAGAAAACGGACAAGTTCCTCAGATCTTCTCTGGGGCTCTGAGAAGTTTCTGTCTCTCAAACTGTACATGGCAATAATGAAGACTTTCCCCCAATCAACTCTTCAAATAGCAGCTTTGTCCAGTCAACCACAGAACCCTTCCCACAGCAAAGCAGATACACATTCTCTGATTCCCCTTGGTGTCTCCCTCCCAAACCAGAGAAAGCAATAGAAGGGAACAGAGGCACACACCAAAGATGTTTTCCTTCTTTCAGGCTATAGAAGGTGCTAGAGATCAATAAGCCCAGATGGCTCTTTATACCACAGGAAGATTCAGTTCTCTTCCAATGGAGGTACCAACAACCCTAGTCAGTTTTATCAGCCTGTCAGCTTGTTTATTTTGTCATCTCTCCCAGGCAGTAAGGACACCCAGATGCTAAATCAGGTGCAGTCAAGTTGTCTTAACCACACAACTGTTGTCTTAAAGCAATAAGAACACTAGGAAGCAACCAATTGTGGCGGGATTCTTTTTTGTTCGGTCATTTTTTCAAGCCTGCTTCCTGACTTTAGATGTTATGTTAGGGTCAGGGTTTGTGCACTTCTGGAAGGAATATCTGGGCTGGTCCTGCTGCTTCTTTTTGAGGAATTGAATGTTGAGTTATTCCAGAATGTCAGAGACAGCTCAGGCTGGAAACCTACAAACTTTTAATGCTTCCAAAGAGGTCTGATCCAGGGCAAAGTATGATCTCAGCCTTCTTGATCTGATCTTTATGTGTTACTGACCTGGGTTTTGGTCTGAGCAACATACATATCAACTTGCCCCTGGCTGGAGTTCCGGTAAGACTGCTGCTCAACTCAACCACTATTAGCCAACTGGATAGTCCTGCTAATTCAGAGTGACGGAACTGAAAACTCTACTGTGGTTTGGGATTCCAGCTTCAGACTGGGCTAGAAGTTGGAACTGAGAACTCACCAGAGCCACACAACTGCCACCTACTTCTAAATTTGCTCCTTGCTTAATACACAGTCTAGGGGCTTTGATTACCCCTCACCCTGGAACACTCCTCCTAGGCAGAGGTCCCTTCCTCAGTCCACCCCATGACTCTGTCACCTGAACTGGATAATGAACAACAGAGTTGCTTCCCATTCATACAAAAATCAGTCACAGTTACACCATGTAATCCTTAAACCATTAACCCATTAACCCTTACTAGCCCTTAATAAAGCAAAGGCTTATTTAGAATGGAATACATGAGGTTAATATTGACGGTCCTGGCTTTTAGCAGCCTTTTTGGGCATTAACAGTAATCCGTTTATAACAATCCTTCAGTTTCCCATTCCCAACTGCCTTGGAGTCTACTTTATTAGCAGGGTTAATTTCAGTTCATCCTAAAAACATATATGCTACACAGTAAATAGACCTCTGAGTCTGGAGTCAGGAAGTTTTGAGTTCAAATCTTACCTCAAACACAGCATATACCTCAGACTGGCTGTATGACTCTTGGAAAGTCATCAAACCTCTCTCGGCCTCAGCATGCCTATCTGTAAAATGGCAATAATAATAGCACCTCCCTCCCAGGGTTGTTGTGAGGATTGAATGAGATAACATCTGTAAAGTGTGTTGCAAACCTTAAAGCATTATATAAATGTTAGCTATTATAGCATTTTGTCATTTGGTTAGAATCAACTTCCATGATGACAAAAGAAAATGCCCCAAATTTTGTGTGCTGTTCTCTTTGACTTACTAGCCAGCCTTTCTGGAGCACTTTAAGATCTGCAAGGCACTTGAACCTCACAACTACCCTGTGAAGTAGATGCTATTTCACAAATAAGAAGACTGAAGCTGAGGTCAGCTAGGTAATTTGACCATGGCCACACAGTTTGTAAGAATTCATGGGAGAACTCAGGTCTCCCTGACTCCAAGAGCCGTCTCCTAAACCAAGTAGCCAGTTCTTTGCTTTGATCTAGTTTCCCAAAATGATGTGTTTGGTGGGATAACAATAATAATAACAAAAGCTAGCATGTTAGCTGTGTGACCCTGGGCAAGTCACTTAATCCCATTTGCCTCACCAAAAAGAAAAAAAAAAAAAAAAAAAGCTAGCATGTATAAAATGCTTTAAGGTTTGCAAAGCACTTTGCAAATATCATCTAATTTTATCCTTACAACAACCTTGGTAGTCAGTTGCTATTATTATCCTCATCTTATAGATGAAGAAACAGAGACTAATAAAGGTTGAGTGACCCACCTAGGGTCACAGAGCTAGGAAGTATCAAAGGTGGGATCTCAACTCATGTCTTCCTGACTCTAGGACTGTGTTACCTAGCTGGGGGATGAGGCAGCTACGATTATTACAAGTATATTGTTGAGCTATTAAAGACAAATTTTCAACCCATCTCTTTTTTTCCCCTACCAAAATTCTGTACTGCAGCAACAACAAAATTAAGTCATAATTGTTCTGCCAGCCTAGATCTCCTTTCTCTAAATTGCCTGTCAGGCCATTACTAGAATGGCCTGGGACTGACTTCTGAAAAATCCGCCTGTAAAGACTTCTCATGCTTTACAAAACAAAGGCCAAAGGTTGGTTATAGCCTGCATTTTCCTACTGAACTTTTTTTTTTTTAACTTTCTTGAACCCTAGGTTCCTGGCAACAGCTTGTTATTCATTTATGGAGGGACCTGCACAGTACTTCCTGTACTGGAATGATATCTTCTAGTCCCTGAGAAGGTTATATTCAAGCCCAATTGCAACATCTATTGATAAGCATTTCCAAGGTCAGTAGCAAATGTAAATTGATGCTTTCATAGTCTGGAATAGATACATTTGAATACTTTAGATGGACATTAACCGAACTAAGAGTACTCTCACTTCTAGACTCAATCTTGTTCAGATGAGCAATCACAGAATTCTGATCAAGGAAGATCTCAAATGTGCAAAGCAATCACATTACAGTATCACAAAATATAAAAAACATTTCTATACAATGGTTTCCAAAATCATGGCTTTTTTTTTCTAAGTTAGCCTTGAAAAAGATTTTGATAGCTTGCAAAAATGAGGGCCCTGCATGGTCCCTGTTTAAGTGAATAATCACTCTATTTTCTTGCTTTTGGGGAATCAGGAATTGAAGTCACTCATCTGGATTCTAGATGAGGTAATAATTGTACAAAGAGTTGTATGCTTAGCATTTTCTATTTCTGAGAGCCCCTAGTAGCTTCTCATTGCCTTTAAATTGAGCTTTAGGTCTATGCTATGACATTGTAAACTATATCTAATTTCCTTTTAAATTTTTTCTTTTTTCTATGCTGTTTTTGGAATCATTGGAGGAAAACCTTTTAAATGACCCTCAGTTCAGTTTATGGACTGAGTGAACACCTTTCATACTGAATAGATTATCAACATAAACATAGACAAGTTAAGAAACAAACATTTCCCTTGCTAGCAGCATGTATTTATTCACACAACCAAAAATCCAGAGAGTGCACTCTTAATTTGGATAAACAAGGAGCCTCTGAAAAATTTTTGGCCCAATCATTTTGTCCAAGAATTTACATGTTTTATTTCTCTGATGAATGCATTAAAATGGCAGCTTTTCCAATGACAGATGCATTGTTCTAAGCTCAGCTCCCCTGTCCAACGTTCCCCTCAACTTTTCCCCAAGATGGATACTCGGTACTGACTTTGCCTGTATGTTTGGGTTCCATTGGCCATGAAGGCGGCTGGAGTAGGTGCTATGGAATGTTTAGAGCTTGGTCAGACATCAAAGATGCCAAGGTCATCCACGGAATCTCAGGCCATCTTGGTCATCTTGACCTTTGTCCTGGTACTACACTTTGATGACTCTGGAAGAGAGAGTGAGGCTGATGACTTTGTGCAACTCTGCCTCACTTAAATCTAATTTACCTACAACTCAA